ACCTGGAATTTGAAGAATTCTACTCAGGCACCCATATTTCAAAAATTATTTTCTTATTACTTGAAGTTCATTCTTAGATACGTGAAACAACAGAATTATTCTTGTTTTTATTTTTCAAGAAAGAAAAAATAAAAATGATTTTAAAATAACATTTGACATAATTAAAGATAAAAAATAAAAATGAAAATAATTTCTTTATTTAGTATAAAATGGGTGAGAAATAAAAAATGACTTTTAGTCATTTTTTTTGTTTTTTGTTTTTGTTTTCTCCTCTCTTAAGCAGAGAGAGAGAGACATTAATGAGTTTTTTATACTGAAAATAATCTCTTGATAAAATTACCAAACGTATTTTCAAAAAAAATTTATGTCTGAAATTAAAAACGTTTTCATTTTCATTTTCAGACAAAAAATAAAATCATTTTAGAATGAGTTCCAAATGCACTCAATAATTCTGTCTTAATGATTAATTTGCAAAGCATATTTATAGTAAATTTACCTTATAATAAATTTGCTTCATAAATTAATCATTTATTATAAATATTGCTATTTATTATAAAGTATTTTTAAAAAATGACCTACCTGCTATAATTTCTATTTTTTCAGTTAATTTTTTTTCACTTTTTTTTTGTTTTTTTGAGAGAGTCATTTTGGAGGTGTTTAAATGGGGTTGAATATGATTTTGTTATTTTGGTTTGATAGGTTTTCATTTTAATTTTTGAGGAGTTTGAGTGTTGGATTTTACTTATCTATTTTGTTTTGATTTTTCTTTTTTTCTTTTTTTTTTCTTTTTTAGTTCGGTGTCATTAAGGGACTAAAGGGGTTGATGTTGGAGCAATAGTTTGGGACGCTAGTGGTGAGGTATTGGGGACGATGGCGAAGAAGATTATTGGTCCTATAATACTTTTGACCGTGTTGGTCCTATAATTAGTGATATTTGCTTTATTTTATCGACGCTTGGTAGTGGTACTTGCTTACATACTAGCCCAGTTTGCTCTAGCGCGTTTATGGATGGAAGAATTTTTTTTTTATTTTTTTTATTTTTTTTATTTTTTTAATCAAGTTTATAGTTACATCTCTCAAATAGTTCTTGACAACACGTCAAATCCATGAAATTCAACCAGTTTCAGCCTTAAAAAAAATATTCGTAATACTTTTTCCCTAAATTAAACATATGTACACCCTCATAAACATACATTAATCTGAAACAAAGAAAAAACTAATTTGTGTAAAAAGAAAAAAAATACATCAATTGCCAACATTTTTGTTTTTCCGCATAAAATTGACGAAAGTAAAAATGTGCATGACTATAAGAGGCTATTGGCGTTTTCCACTTAAATTTGTGCTAGCTGTTTATGCTCCCAGCTGTTGCATTAATTAAAATATATATAGATATTCTTAAAAATTTAGAAACTGTGCCGTGAATTCTTGTTTGGGAACGACTGGCCAACCATTGAATTATAAGTTCCCACATAAATTGACTCCTTCAATCTGTCTCACATTAAATAATTATAAGTCTGTAAAAGCTAAAGAGTTCTTCTTTTTACGACTAAAGTCACAATTTAAATTTTATTACTATAGTGTTTTCTCTTATAAAAATTTAAAATTAACTTTTTTATTACAGTATTTTTTTCTCACACACACAACTCAAAATTCTTGCTTCTAAAAACATAATTAACTCAAGTGTTTGGCCATATCAACACTCTAAGCATGGCTTGTTTTTTTATAATTTTTTTTATTTTTATAATGTTGACTGAACTGTGTATTATGTTCCTGCT